AAGTATTTTAATAAGATTTACGTTGATTTTAATATTACTTACTGGGTAACCATTACTTACTTGGAACCATTAAGATTATAATGATCGCATTGAAAATTTCCTGACGCGTGGACTAAATAAACAATTTGGTCCCGTTGCGTGTGCCCGTCCTACAATGGAAAATTCCTATCTTCCCTCGCTTTCAATAATTAGACCGCCCATTACCCGTTAGAAAGCGGCTGTTACAAAATATTCGTCTCGCGGAAGCAACGAAACATTATTCAAGACCTAATGAATATCGAAACGTTGTGAGTTGCGCAATCCGTATAAAGAATTACGAAGCTTACGCGATATACGAGATCGTCTCAAGTCTTTTCGACTCGTTCTTTTCCTCTCCAAATCTTTATCAATCTCGGGAAATGTTCAAACAACGTCACTGAACACACATCTGTGAACTTCCTCATTTGACCAACGTAGTCTACTGTCTATTTACGTTAACTGTTGTACAAATCAAAATGCCGGTCCGGAAATAATATAATATTTTGACCCAAATTTTCTCCCTATAAATAAAAAATGACTAAACGCTTTTTTCTGAATGAAATTCCTTGCTTGTAAAAATCCGTTGTAATTTTCTCGAGTGTCTATAAATCTGACCGCGTGAAACAAGATCCGTAACGCGGAACACAATGCGTCATAAACTTTGATATTATAAATGGCCGTTCACTCGAGCACGTGACCACAAATAAACCTATTCTCGCGTGATAAACCGGGGAATGCCGGGGATTACAGCGCAATTGTGAGCCGCCTTTACTTTACCGTACCGCGTGCTTATTTACCTGGACTTTATTATACAAGTGATTATAGAATTTAATTAGAAAGTAACGCGGGAAATTAGGTGTAGGAATAAACCATTTATCCTAATCTCGATGAAACAATGAACTTAATAAAATTACCAACTGATTGCGTCATAAAGAATTACAACCGAGCTAGTATACGTAATATATAACAATAATAATATTCAAGTATGGGAGCAATTAACTTAATGAGATTAGAAACTGCAATGTTCGCTGCAATTCTTATTAATTTTCCAGTGATAAAAAAATAAATGATTTCTTTAATGTCTGTAACACTAACCTACCCCAATGATCCGATGAAAAGGAATTTACTTGCGTCGTTTCCGATTCCACCAATTGAAACACAAATAAATTTTCAGTGTATTTTAAGGGCTATGCAATACAAAATTAAAATAAATCCGTACTCTGTGTTTGGCCACTTCGATAGCCAAAATAAGAATTGCACGGACGTCACAACCGGCTTAGATCCACGAGTCAAGCACGAGGTGAACTAGACTGTCGCCATATTGAAGCGCGCAAAAAAAATGACCGTTAAACCCGTCACGCATGGTCGAGTTTTCAAGATCATACGAAACGATGTCCAATATGAAACTGCAGCTTGACACGCGATACGCAATGAACCACGACTCCATCTATGTTTATATTTTCGTTTAGTACCTCTTGCGACCCGTTCTATTTACACAACCTAAAAGTACCAATTAGTTCATAAATCGTCAAGATTTTGTTCATTCAACGTAAAGTGGAAGCGTTGGCGAAAACGAAAGTGAGAAAACCCGTTCCTCGTTAGGACACTCAGCGTTCCTATTTTCGTTTCCTTTTTTCACGCAAATAATACGTGAAGAAAGTGTCACCGTTAGGCCTTATTAGCAATTCGAATGTATTTTAGTCTCGAGAGGGTACTAAAATTTCACAGGAGAATACTCGTACACCACATGATAATTTTCAAGGTCACGTGCAGTCTAACAACTTTTGCGAGAGCCTGTACATTGTGCAATATCCTATGTCTCTAATCGATTTCAATTTTTCAAATTGTACCGAGCATTTTCAGTTTCACGGAATGGGCTAAATGCAATCTTGTATAGTTTTCGAACGGTTATTCGTGAAATTGTTGCAGATATTAAGTACACTTGTATTACATTGAACAAAAAAACAGGGGGTGTTCGTTGCACAACATCAATTAATTTAATGTTTTCTGTGGATGCTTGATATTTTGTTGCATTAAAATCTAATAAAAAATATTCAAGAAAGAAGATCCTACTTATATGGGTCTTAATAGGGTTAAAATATATTCCAATATTTTGCAACTGATTTAACACGTTGATTGCCACGGAAGAACATCAGCGTTTGCTGTATCATTTATCCTTTCTGTAGCAAAGATACAAAGCAAGAATTATTAATTCTTTGATATGAAAATTCTTATATTACCTTATTATCTTATATTTGAAAGTATTAAACTAAAAATTAAAAAAGAACTGAAATCTTTGGCTGTGTACTCAGTTCAGAGAATCGGGCCGATAGAAATTTTAAGCTACCTATGGTGCAGAGCCCTATAATACATTATCGGGTGCAGATAACGCAAACTCGCTTCGATAAGCGGTGATCCATACCACGTAAAAACGAGTCTTTGGGAAAACAGCAGATAAAAATCGTAAACGACGTGAAAGCTATCGCGATAACATTATGGAACGGCGGTATTGCGTTCGGCGATTGTTTCCACGGATAATAAGCGTCCTAACCTAACTCATTCACGGAATGTCACTCGGCATTGACCCTGGAATATGAAATGTGTGTGCAAATAAAAGAAATTCTACCCTCGCAGATGAGTTAAAAACGAAACAAATTAATCTATTGTTGGACGTTACAATCGCAACGTCGGAGATCAATAATGGCACATTCGACGTTACAAACACAAACATGCTTTGCGTACGAGCGAAGAGAACATGTTCCTTGGTGGGTAAACAAAATCCTCAATAGTTATAAGTAAGTTATAAATTTACTTAGAAAAATAATTTACACCAAAAATTCATATGAACATGTGGCAGTTAAATACTATTAGGTTAAAGGTTAATTGCGCGCAAACTGGTACGTCAATGAAAATTACGTATCGGTTCACTAATCTAACCTGATAGAAAGATACTCTGAGGTTTACAGACCTTCGCAGCCACGATCAATTACTTTTTTCATTCACGTAAAACATCTCTAACGAAACTGATTTCTGTTTACACAGTTAAGGGGGAGGTTATGTCCACGTTACA